AGCGTGAGCAAAATACTTTCTGGCCACTTGTTTTTGAGCCTAGAGCGTGCTTGACATATATATATATATATATCATGCCCCCTGATAATTGTCGGCGACACACCCCAAATCACATAAACTATCAAACACCCCATGAGAGTTTTGCAGGCGCTCCCGTCAAAGTGAAGGAAGCGCCGGCAGACTCAGTTCCTGCTGGAGCTGAAGTTGCCGCGGTCAGAAGTGAGAAGGAGGATGCTGCTTGACTGTGAACACATCAGTTGTGCTTTAGGCATTTTTCTCAGGCTACAGGGATAGGGAAGCTCTCGTGTACTTCTGAACCATCACCATTCAAACTCCATGGAACTCCAAAGGGTCGTTCTGAGAATCGTCATTCTTGCGCCTCAACTGGCACAGTCACTCACTGGTTCCAGGCGACTGTTGGTGTTTACACTGATGGGACCCAATTGAGGAAGTGCGACAGGAAGAGAAGAGCGAGGCAGATCAGGGTCTATCATTTTCCCCATGGATGCCTACTCAAGTGTACAATCTGAACGATGTAGTGTGAGCACCAGTAGCAGACCTGGATGGAGGAAGATCTTTCGAAGCTGAGACAAAGCCTGGCCGAAGCTGAAGCGCGCAATTTGTTTCTATCTTCAGAACTGGCCCAAGTTAAGGACAGCAGAATGCCCTTAGAGGGAAGCGATGAAGTTAATGAGCAGCTCTACAACTTGCCGACTCCAATTTCAATCATACAAGCCATTCCAGGAGCAGCTGGGAGCAGCTCTTGCTTGCCCTGTGTCACCCAAAGAGGAGGACGAAGAAAGGACTGCAAACTAGCAGTGCAAACTGTGTGGGGTGGATCGCAGAGTGTTCTTCGCGTGGCATGAGAAAGAATCCAAACGCACTTGAACCCCCGCAACCAACTCTGTGCCAATTGCTCCCATTTGTCCAGGAGCCCGCAACAGAAAATGCAGCTTGCAGCTCAGGTATGGCCCCACGCGCAGGTCGGTCAAAGCCAGTTAAAGTGTCCCAACAGTGTATCAGGTGGAGGACGCCTTGAAGGATGTGGCCCGAGAGGAAGGCATATTCAGCGCCAACAGGGAACTGATCGACGACTGTACCTGACTCAAGACGAACAGATGCGGTTCTCAGCATACAGTATTCGGGAACCCTTTTCTGAAAGTCAATCCGGATTGGTGTTTGGACCAAGGTAGCAAGCTCCAAGAAGACCTGGAGGCAGAGCTCAAGGAGCTCGGTCTTTGCAGCCTCGGTCCTGGGTGTTCATGATTCTGCTGCCTGCATAGGCAATGATGGGAGTGTTTAGTCGACATATATACACATTTTTAATGTCATTGTCATTGTTTGATGATTTTTCCAGAAACAAGGTTGTTTTGGCTCAAGGAGCTATTGGGAAAGCGTCGGGAAGACCTACTCAAGCAGAAGCGCCGATTCGAAGAAAACGCCTTGGCACAGAAGGCAGTGGAACAGCGAGTGCGAGAGCTCTGGCTGATTTGGGCAATTGGATGCCATTGGTGCGTATCCTGCTTGTTGCCCTGAGGGGATGAATCATGATTCGGTGTTTGTGGGAAAGCCCAGACTCCAGAAACCAAGGACATGGCTGCCATCAGACAATCAGAGATGAAGGAGGGGGGAAGATCAGGGGCGATTAAGGGCATAACATTAACAGTTAACATGATTGGAAGTTGGAAGGTCTTCCAATGAGGTTCTCCAACAAGTTTCCGCGCCTGAGTTTTTCAGCTCTTCGCATCAAACCTTGGTCACGGTTTTGCATATTTTTGCGCCAGCTTCAAGCAGGAACTGCAGCAGCAAATGCAGGGCCGCTTGGCATTCGCGGTTGGCTGCGACGGAATATATTGTCTCAGTTTATTCGGAGAAAGGTCAGTGGTGTCGATCCTTTCCATTGGCTCAGGTGTGGTGTCTGAGATCTACCAGCACTCCACTTCCCTGTCTCAGTGCATCCAAGGACGTGATCTCGAAATGGAGGAGGTGAAGCCTCACTGCCATGTCATGAAGAATCTTCATCCCGGCAAGTCACTCCCTTTTTTTTACCCAGTCTCAGGCGGTTTTGGGTGTCCGTGTGCAGAATATCATGCTTGAATTTGTTGCAAACTTTAGAACTTTGGCTAGGTCATCTCGCTCTCGGCGGAATCGCCTCCCAAGCGGTGCCGAGTGTCAAGCAAGGCAGCTGGCTCGGTTCGTGGGCTGCAAACTGGAACCCGGTCAAATACTTCTTGGATTTTCCACGTTATTCTAGCTCAGATGTCGGGGTATGAATCAGTGACGGTTGGCCGGTGTGAGACCATGTCTAGACGTTTCAGGCTTCTTTGATTCACGTGATGCTTCATGCTGAAGTAGTTGATCCATTTGATCGTTGTGGTCAGGTCAACGGGATGCAGACGAGTGAGTTTTTCCCGGCAACTATTGCACTGGGGTAGAGGAGCCCACTCCAGATATATATATATATACCCTATTTGCAGAATTCAGGAGTCTAGTACTTGCATGTTACCTCCACAATCCACCACATGTTGAAGCAAGCTCTGGAGAGGGCGAATTTGGAGTGCTGTTGGCTCCAGTGCACCTGGAAGCCCACTCCAACTCCATTTGACCTGTGTTGCAACTGCATGTGTTGGGGTAAAACAGGTCTCCGGACAGTGAACGGTCTTTGTGCAAAATGAACAGGTCGACGGTGCAAGAAGATTTGGTCGTCCTTTGTGATTGTCCTTTCACTTTTCATTGCACGTTTCCGAGCAAGTTTGCAGATGGGGCCGCTTTGAAGGTGTGAAGATGGCAGTCACCTCAGAGTACATCTCGGCGAGTTGCCGGCACCCTGGAGTCTTGCATGGTTGACTGGCTGGGTTCTCTTTCACTTCTGCAATTCCACGCTGAGAATCATTTGGTGAGCATTTTGATAGGTTTGAGAAGCTTTAAAATAAATTGTTGTTTCTTGCATGATGCTTGAAACTTCCAGTGCATTTGCTCGGGCACGCCTGAGCCCTGACTTCGGGCACGCCTGAGCCCTGACTGACGTTCATGGTGTGAGGTGCTGCCATGATCGCGTGTCGGCCCTTAAGTTGAAGCTTCGAGCCTTCTGTTGCTGTTTACGTGGATTGGGGAGGCTAACGAAAGGGCTGTATTGTTGAATAGACCCAG